GTCCTGTGGAGATCATTAAGAGTCGTTGTTGGGTGAAAAAATCTTTCGCTAACACTGTGTTGACCGTGAACAGGAAGTGGTCGGAGTGGCATCAAGTGCTGGACCGGATGTCCGTGGCGTATAGGATATTAAACTGGGGAAAGGTTTGGACTTTTGGTACAGTTATAAAAAATGTCCAATCACAAACAGGTTTAGTTTAAAAACAGCAAAACTCTTTCATAAAACCTGATTTATAATTAGAAATATATCGGAGTACAACAGCAGCAGAAGTGTTTGATATTCTTCCTGTAACTCAGCAGAGCAGCAACATTTATTTTCTGCTTCATAAAGAAGAAAATCTAAAGGATGTGTTTCTGAAGGCCAGCCGGGCGCTCGCTCACCGTCTTCGTTTGGTTGAAGCACTCTAGGAAATCCTCATACTCCAGCTGGCACTCCTTCTTGGCCCGGGTCTGCCCGATACCRTGAGCACACGTGACCCAGTCCTTCTCGAAGGCGTGGCAGCGCGACATGTACTTCAGGTCAGTCTTCCCGCTCTGCAGCAGGAGCCATTCGTCGAAGTTGATGCCCAGCCACTTCCAAGTATTCAGAAACGGCATGGTGCTGGAGAGGTGTGGACGTGAAAGAGACGTAGTTTAAACACGTTCAGAAAACGACCAGAGAAGCTTAGAACAGGATTCATTCAAGGTCTGGAGAATTTATAAAGTATAACATGAGTATGAAATAAACCAAACCAAAAGATCCCGTCTGATTTCAGACACATTTATAAAAGAAGAAATCTCTTCAGGATCTTTAGTTTCCTAAATCACAACAGGACAGAGTTTGTCCTGCATCTCCAGGATGTAATGAAACATTCACAGTACTGCTATTTATGAGATGGTTTTATTTTTATGATGTGAGAGGCAGAGGAGGACAGACTGACTGGGATGTCCAGACAGGACCAGGAGGATTTACATCTGTGTCCAGTGAGCAAAAAGGGAAATGAGTCCAAAGATAACTCTACTGGGTTTTCTGTGGAGGACCTGCTACAGCTGCTTCAGGGGAAAATAAACCCCTGTTCTGTCAGAGAAACATGGGAACCAGAACCTTTTTATGGCCCAAACATCTCCTGAGGCTGATAAGGTGGCAGATTTTATAAATAACTAACTTTAATGTAAGAATCAATTATAACTTAACCTTAAAACTCTCTAACACTGTTTATTCAAGGAGAAATGAACTAACCTTATCATCAGATTATAATGCGATTTGTTTCAAAAATAAATACTGTTGGGCTCAGAAACATGTATTTGTTACATAAAACCCTGAGTGAAGGGATTTATGTATTATGCAATATATTTCTCATGTGAATAACACAATCTGAAAGCATTATAATACTATGAATGTACAAATAAATAAACAAATATAACAACAGTGTATTACTACAGATATGACAACGCAATGAAAAGTATTTTAACTTATTTATTCACACATGGCTGTCGGAGTCTTCTTTATAAAATAACTTATTTACAGGATATAATTCAACATAAACAAAGCACTAATATGTTGTTGACTGTGTCTGACGGCAGCTCCGATGGTTTTTCTTCAGATTCAATGACAGCCAGCTAATGCTAATGCTAATGCTAACCTTAAGACGCTTTTATCTTATTATTTACAAGAACAGCGAAATGAAACCGCTGGATTTATTTATGATAAGTTGTTTTGCATCAGTTGTTGTAAAAACGTGAATCATTAAAACACCAGTATTTACCTGGTTTTGTGTTTTTTTTCTTTCGACTCGCTTTAACCTTCTTCGACCAGCTGCTCTTYGCGACAGAAAACACTGCCGTAAAGCGTCAGTTTCCGGTAGTTGTTGAAAAGCGGTCTAAAGCGCCCTCTGGTGGGAGTGGAGGGTACAACAGGCCGAAAGGCAGGAAAAAAACTGCTTTACATCTTTTTTGTTGACCTTTTAGCTACTAAAGCACGTGATCAAAATCAGTATTTTGATGCTTTATGATCTAGATATATTTATGCTTAATTCTGGTTTGTTAGACTGCTTGACGTTGCACGTGGAGGACGTTTCGCAATCACTTTCAATTAATACAAAACTAAATATGACTGCATATAAAAGACAAAATCTAAAGAAGTGGAATGGAACAGGAGTTTTGCACAGAACTGTAGAGATTAAACTGCCTTTCATCTTCTAACAATAATT